CAAAAGTAGAAGTACTCATTATGCAGAATGGCCCATTTCAAAATAAGTTGTTGGATTAATGTAGTGGGGTAAAAAGTACAGTTTTTTTCCCTCTGAATTGTGGTAGTATAGAAGTATAGAATAGCAGAAAATAGAAATACTCAAATGTACTTACTGTCGACCACTGGCTGTTATAATTTCAGTGCACTGCAAACAAATCAATTTACAGTTAATGATCAGACATAATGCAAGCTTAAAGGTTTGAGAGAAAACTGGTTTCTCCACAGACTTAATGAGCGCTCTCCGGTGTACCATGTTTGTAGAGTGTATAATATGCACGTTAATGTTCTCATTATCTGATAGCTGGAGAACTGTTTTATACATATTACACTATGGTAATCACTGTACTGTAACTAATAACTAATCAAAGTGTATATTTAGATTTGATCGACTGCAACAAATTAATCAGTTAGAATACAGATATTCCCAATCTGCAGTACTTTTACATTTGACCAATATTATATGTACTACAAGTATATTAAAGTATTTTCTAACAAGCTTCACATAAGATATATATGCATGTATTTTATTTCTGTTTGTGTTATTGACCAGTCTTTAAAGCTACAGTGTTAAAAGAATGAAACTGGGTGTGAAAGCTTTATTTAAGTATCCTGGGCCTCGTCAGTTCAACAGTTATCTCCCTACAGCCCCCACTAGTGAGTCTGGTGACAGTCACAAGTAATAAACCACAAAGTGACTTATAAATCAATTATTTGGTTATTTTGAATTAGGATTAGCTACACCTGGTTTATGGTTGTGAGAAGGTTTGGTTGTATTGTGCATCATTAGTCATGGCAGCATTGTGACAGTCATCAAGCTGGACCTGACATGTGCCGATACACATTCACACCTCTCAAGATTAAAAAAAAGGATATATAGCTGTAAGATGTTAACCACCACTTCAACTCTTTATGAAACACGCTTAAAATAATAACGCTGAGGTTAGTATAGGATCATTGTTGTTATTGTATGATACAACAAAAGGCTCATACAATAACAACAGTTCTGTTAATATTAAAAAAAACAAGAATAGACAGAAAAATAAAAGTCAGCTTGGTCTTTATTCTCATAACATCCCCTCGTAGCCGTTACATTAATTAAATATTACCATCAAATGTTTTTTATATATTTCAGCTGCTTCACAGAGCAGGACACCATCAACAACAGCAGTTTACTAAAAATACAACTGATAGATACA